AATCTTTGTTGTTGGCTGGCAGATTTTAGCAAAAGTTTATTTCTGTAGGCTCACTGCTCGCTGTGGATTTAATCATTGTTCTGGTTCTCACAGCCTTCCAGCTCCGCTCCAGGAGAAAAATACGGATTTGTCACCAGGGCCTCCCACTAGAATCTAATTTTAAATTAGCAATCTGTTGTCTTGCAAGGTGCTTCCAATTTGGTGGGAAAGTTAATATATTTCAGATTTTCTTCTGGAACCTGAAGGCCCAACTTTTTGCAAGTTTGAGAGTTAGTAACTGAGGTTTAGCTGAAATGAGCATCTTGGTTTTGTAATTATTTTAAGAAAAATTTAATATCGGGCAAAAGGGAAGATAAAGGAAAATGACTGTTTTTAAAAAAATTATATTCTTTGATGGGGCTGTCATCAGTGGTCATCTAGAATGTGATCATCTTGATGTGTAACCGTTTTATGTAAGACTCAGCAGTTCAGTTAGAGTTCAGTCTGTCTGTCTGGGGTAGTTGATGTAGGGAACACTGTTTTTTCCAAGCCTTCCCTGCAGAATTTGTGTTCTCCCTGCTGATATCCTAATGTTGATATCAATCTTAAGTTTTGGTTTAAAAAAAAAACCAAAACAACTCAAACCCATGTACCGTCTCTTGATCTGCAAATTGGGTAAAAAGTGTCTTTCCTGGCCCCTTGAAGACTTCCACAATTTTGACATTTTCCCTGCTCTGAACCAGTAAGGCATATATTTTCTGGGAGAGCGAGCCCTTTCCCAGAGCAGCTGATAGCTTGATGGTCCAGCCGCCTCTGGAGGATGTGGAGGAACGAGTCGCCACTCCTCGTTAGCCTGACTTGAGCAGCAGATACGAATCTTGATCTTCCGCGTCTTCGGCAAGAAACTGAGTCACCGAGCTGGTGCCTCGGCCGGGAGACGTGCCTGTCTCCCCGCGTTGGTTTTCAGATCTCTCCCTCTTGGAGCGGAGGAGCCTTTCATCAAAAGCGGTCTATTCCCATGAAAAGTTGGGGTTTTGATGAATAAACATTTTCTGCTGGAAGATTTCCAGCTGGTTCTGCTCGCGGTGCATGGTCTGTGCGCGCCAAGCTCTGCTAGCTTCAGAGGGTAATTCGGAACAGATTTTTGACACGTCGCAATCCTTGGCCGAGCGCGACGGACCTGTTGGAAGCATCAAGACGTGTCGCGCTTGATTTATGTTGCATCCTGGTGGTACCTTGATAGGTCTTTAATGGTCACCTTTGGATTCGACGGGGGAGCTAACAAGGGGAGCCTTTGTCCTACCAGCATTTGCGTGCAGCCCCCATTAACATTACTCATTTTCTTAATTTGATACAGATTTTTTTCACTGAGTGTGCTAAATTCAGTTAAGCCATAGACAGGCAGCATCTGGCAGTCGTAGCTGTAGCAGTTTAAGACATTTCTGCCCCAGGGTGTCTGCCGC